TTAATGTTGCCGCCATAACACCGTCTTTATGAGTGTGGTGTAGTGTTGCCTTCTTTAACTGTAGACGGTCCCGGTGTGTGTGTGTGTGTGTGTGTGTGTGTGTGTGTGTGTGTGTGTGTGTGTGTGTGTGTGTGTGTGTGTGTGTGTGTGTGTGTGAGTTGTTCTGTGTGTTTATGTATAACTGTATATTTTACCTATACACCATGCACGTTTATGTATGCTAGTGTGCAGTAGTCCTAGCAGTAATCCAAGCAGTAATCCTAGCAGCCGCAGTAATCCTAGCAGTAATCCTATCAGAGACAGTTAAGGTTTCTTCATCTTCCTCTAACAGGTGGAGGGGGGGGGGGAGGGGTTTATTGTTGGTCAAGGAGGGATTATTATAAGTGGCTGGAGGGGAAGAGAGGGGTTTGGATGGTTGTGGAGGGGGAGGGGAGGGGTGATGGTAGGTCTTAGCTCCACCATAACACTCCGGGCTTAATGGTGCAGAAGGTTATATCAATAGGTCTCATGTGTCTTTCTTAATGATGGAACCAACGAGAGAGAAATATGTTGAGGTGAGGGGGAGGGAGGGGGGGTGGGAGGGGAAGAGTGAGGGGGGGGAGTGAGGGAGAGGTGAGGGGGGAGGGGGGGGGAGGGGTGGGGGTGAGGGGGAAGAGGAGGGGGGAGAGTGAGGGAGGAAGATGAAAGTGAGGCAGATGGGTATGTAAGAGAGAGAGGAGATGGGATAAGATTGTGAGAGGGGAGGTGAGAAAGAGAGGGGAGAGGGAGAGAGGGAGGAGGGTGACTAAACAGTGGCCCATGGTGGTGGCTGTGTTGGGTTAGGTGCCCTGAAAACTTCCTCCAAAGAACCTGGTGTTGGAGGAGGAGGAGGGGGGGGAGGAGGAGGGGTGTTGGAGGAGGAGGAGGGGTGTTGGAGGAGGAGGGGGTGTTGGAGGAGGAGGAGGGGTGTTGGAGGAGGAGGGGGTGTTGGAGGATGAGGAGGGGTGTTGGAGGAGGAGGGGTGTTGGAGGAGGAGGGGTGTTGGAGGATGAGGGGTGTTGGAGGAGGAGGAGGGTGTTGGTGGAGGGAGAGGGTGTTGGAGGAGGAGGGGTGTTGGAGGAGGAGGGGTGTTGGAGGAGGAGGGGTGTTGGAGGAGGAGGAGGGGGTGGGGGGGAGGAGAGGGTGTTGGAGGAGGAGGGGTGAGGAGGAGGGGTGTTGGAGGAGGTGGGGTGGAGGATGAGGAGGGGGTGGGAGGAGGAGGGTGTTGGAGGATGAGGAGGGGGGGAGGAGAGGTGTTGGAGGAGGAGGGGGTGTTGGAGGATGAGGGGTGTTGGAGGAGGAGGAGGGGGGTGTTGGTGGAGGAGAGGTGTTGGAGGAGGAGGGGTGTTGGAGGAGGAGGGTGTTGAGGATGAGGAGGGTGTTGGAGGATGAGAGGGGGTGTAAGATAAAAGGGAGAAGGAATGGGTGTAGGAGAACAGGAGGAGGAGGTGCTGGTGGAGAGAGAGGAGGAGGAAGAGGAAGAACAAGGCAGCTTTACCCAACTCATAGATCATAAATGTTGGAAGAATCTCTGTTACTTTGTTATGATGTTGATATATTATGGTAAAGAAGGCTCTCTCTCTCTCACTGGCCCAACTACCCTCAACACCACCCATACACAGGTATCCCAAAAATAAACAGAGATCATCTAAAAACATTAAAAAAGTTCCAATAATATTCAAGAGTTTATCGTTAAATCAACAAAGGTAATCTAAAAACATTAAAACAATTCCAATACTATACGAGATGTCACTTCAAGGCCCTCCATCCTTGTTTACATGACGAGGCAACACAGGGTAAAAAAATGACATGGAATCACTAGCTAACTGCACCCCTTTCGGAGTGTGTTCGTCTGGCGTCGATAAACTTCCTAAATGTCCGTCGTTAGCTTCGCCAGGGTATCGCCTCACTTGGCCCCCAACAGCGATAACGCCATTGTAGTGTGGTAGAGCATTGAGCTGAAGTCGAGAGGGCGGGATAATATCGCGATGACGTGTTTGTGTAGGTTTTTTAAGCTTTTGTGGTCGTGTTTAGGTTAAAGTATCAGGCTGTCAGGGCGTAGGTGTGTCAAGGTGTCAGGGTGTCAGGGTGTAAGGGTGTCAGGGTGTCAGGGGTACCTCTAGTGTTTGCTATGGAAGATTATTAAGTGACCAGTAACACGTCTATTGAATAAATAACTTGGCTGTTCCCGCCTCTGACTCCCCCAGCACCAGTGTGTGTGTACTGAGCAGTCCCGTGTGTGTACTGAGCAGTCCCGTGTGTATACTTGGCAGGTCCCTGTGTGTGTACTGAGCAGTCCCGTGTGTGTACTGAGCAGTCCTGTGTGTACTGAGCAGTCCCGGTGTACTGAGCAGTCCCGTGTGTGTACTGAGCAGTCCCGTGTGTGTACTGACAGTCCCTGTGTGTACTGAGCAGTCCCTGTGTGTGTACTGAGCAGTCCCGTGTGTGTACTGAGCAGTCCTGTGTGTGTACTGAGCAGTCCTGTGTGTACTGAGCAGTCCTGTGTGTGTACTGAGCAGTCCCGTGTGTACTGAGCAGTCCCGGTGTGTACTGAGCAGTCCTGTGTACTGAGGTCCGGTGAAGTCCTGTGTGTGTACTGACAGTC